CATCGTCATCATTCCCATCCTCGTCCACACCCCCATCATCATAGTCATCATCATCAGCAGCATCATTATCTTCAGCATCCTCGTCATCATTATCTCAATCATCATCATCACTCTCATAACCATCAGCACCATCATCATCACCAGCATTAGAATCATCATCAACATTATTAGTATCATCAGCATAATCACCACCATCATCCCCACCATCATCAGCAGTATCAGCATCATCACCATCATCATCATCACCACCATCATCATCATCGTCATTATCATCGTCCTGATCCTCGCGTCATTCCTGCTCCTGCTCCTGCTGTTCCTCCACCATGCTGCTCCACTGCCTGTTGCTCCTGCTGCTCCTGCTGCTCCATGCTGCTCCCTGCTGGTGCTCCTCCTCCTCCTCCTCCTCCTCCTCCTCCTCCTCCTCCTCCTCGCACTCTGGGGTCTCTCCTCCTCCTCCTCCTCCTCCTCCTCCTCCTCCTACTCCTCCTCGCACTCTGCCCTCTGGGGTCCCTTTCCCCCCAGAGGGTGCAGACGGAGAAGGGGCCGCACCTGCCCGCGAGCGAGATCCGGCGGACCAGCGACCCCCGGCGGGTGCCGCCGTTTTCCCCCTGCTCCCGGTCCTGCCCCCCGCGCCCTCGAGACCCGCGGCAGGCTCGCTGTCCTCCCCCCCCCCCCAGTCCACTCCTCCTCTTCCTCCTCCCCCTCCTCCTCCTCCTCCTCCTCCTCCTCCTATCCTATCCTCCTGCTCCTCCTCCTCCTCCTCCTCCTCCACCTCCTCCTCCTCCTCCTCCTCCTCCCACCCACCCTCCAGACTCCTTATCCCCCGGTTGCTCATCCTCCTGCGCCCGCACCCCTATCATCCTGCTCTGCATCCTCATGATCACAACTCTAGCGTTCACATGTATGCTGCCACAGTAATGTCGTGCCTCCCAGTTTAATGCGCCCATCGATTCCCCATCGATGAATTGGGGAAGGGTAAGAGGGAAGCGGAGCGGAGGGGGGGCGGGAGAGGCTGAGAGAGGCAGGTAGAGGGAGAGAGAGAGAGAGACGGTGAGCAGAAAGAAAGAGAGAGAGAGAGAGGAACAACAAGAAGGAAGAGAAAGAGGAAGAGAGAGGGAGAGAGAGAGAGAGCGACAAACAAAAAAACGTAAGAGAGAGAGGGATATAAAAAAGGAAGAGAGGGAAAGTGAGAGAAAGAAAGAGAAGAAGAAAAGAGACAGAGAGAGATAGAGGGAAACAACATGTAAGAAGATGCAGACCTGCGCCTGGACCGCCAATTTTCCTGTGTAGGCCACCGACCCCAAAGCTACACGACTCCCATGTACGTCATTATGCACAATGTGCTCCTGTATCATCCATCCATCTGGCTCACCATTTCCGCATGTCCTCTTCAACTCTCGCCCCCATTAATCATCATCATCATCATCATCATCATCATCATCATCATCATCAGCAGCAGCAGCAGCAGCAGCACATCATCATCATCAACAACAACATCAGCATCGTCATCATCACATCATCATCATCATCATCATCATCATCATCATCATCATCATCATCATCATCATCATCATCATCATCATCATCATCATACTCCTCCTCCTCCTCCTCCACATCCTCCTCCTCCTCCTCCTCCTCCTCCTCCTCCTCCTCCTCCCCTTCTTCCTCCTCCCCCATCGTCCTGCCACTCATCCTCATCCTCCCCATCTCCTCCCCATCAGCATCATCAACGTCATCATCATCATCAGCAGCATCAGCATCGTCATCATCATCAGCATCACCAACAGCATCATCATCATCAGCAGCATCATCAGCATCATCAGCATCATCACCATCAGCATCAGCATCATCATCAGCATCAGCAGCATCATCATCATCAATGTCATCATCATCATCATCATCAGCATCATCATCATCATCATCATCAGCATCATCATCATCATCATCATCAGCATCATCATCATAATCATCATCATTATAATCCTCATCTTCATCATCATACTGCTCCTCCTCCTCCTCATCATCATCATCATCCTCCTCATCCTCATCCTCATCCTCCTCCTCCTTCTCCCCTATACAATTACTCAATATGAATATACTCTCCCTCTTCCCCTGATGGCGTCCGGGTGATGGCCGCGCACCCTCCGCGTACTGTTTTTTACACACAGGATGCCCGGGAAATCCCGGGAAACGACTCTCGCTGAGGCGCCGGCGTCATTTTTTCCCAAAATGCTGCTCTCGCGCCGGCGTCATTTTTTCCCCGAATGCTGCTCTCGTTGGGGTGCCGGCCTCATTTCTGCTCCCGAATCCTTCCCCTGATGGCGTCCGGGTGATGGCCGCGCACCCTCCGCGTACTGTTTTTTTACACACAGGATGCCCAGGAAATCCCGGGAAACGACTCTCGCTGAGGCGCCGGCGTCATTTTTTCCCAAAATGCTGCTCTCGTTGAGGCGCCGGCCTCATTTCTGCTCCCGAATCGTTCCGAATCGTGCTCCCGCTGCAGCGTGGGCCTCATTTTCGGATCGGTGTTTGGCCTCCGTCGTTCAGGATGGCGTTCTCGCCCCAGCGCGGGCCTTTTTCTCGCGCGCCCATCCGCCCGCCACCACCGCGCCGCACCGCCACCACCACCACCACCACCACCACCACCACCACCACCACCACCACCACCAGCACCAGCACCAGCACCATACCAACACCACCACCACCACCAGCACCACCACCACCACCAGCACCACCACCACCACCACCACCACCACCACCACACCACCACCACCACAACCACGCACACACGCACGCACGCACGCACGTGCACCACCACCCACTACGCACGCGCGCGCGGAGCCACAGGTCCGCTACGACACGCGTCCGCGGATAGAGAAAATCAGCGCCATGGTAAGGGATGGGAGGGAGGGGTAGGATGTCAGATATGACGCGAGCGCACCTAGCTTGCCTCCTCCCCCTCCTTCTCCTCCTCCTCCTCATCCTCCTCCCCATCAGCATCATCATCAGCAGCAGCATCATCATCACCATCACCATCACCATCACCATCATCATCATCATCATCATCATCATCATCACCAACAGCATCATCACCATCATCATCAGCATCATCATCAGCATCATCAGCAGCAACAGCATCAGCATCAGCATTACTGTCATCATCAGCATCCTCAGCAGCATCATCATCACCATCAGCACCAGCATCATCATCAGCATCATCAACAGCAGCAGCATCAGCACCATCATCATCAGCATCATCATCATCAGCATCAGCATCGTCATCATCAGCAGCATCATCAGCGTCATCATCACCGTGGTCGTCGTCATCGTCATCCTCCTCATCCTCCTCCTACTCCTCATCTCAGCATCGTCGCCATCATCATCATCATCATCATCATCATCATCATCATCATCATCATCAGCATCCTCATGAGCATCGTCATCATCACCATCATTATCAGCAGCAGCAGGGTCATCATCGTCATCATCACCATCAGCAGCATCACCATCGTCGTCGTCGCCAGCATCAACATCATCATCGTCATCATCGTCGTCAACATCATTATCAGCATCATCATCAGCATCATCATCAGAATCATCATCGTCATCGTCATCGTTATCGTCGTCAGCATCGTCATCAACATCATCATCACCATCATCAACAGCATGATCATCATATTCCGCGTTGTCATCATAATCATCATGTTCATCAGCGTCATCAGCATCATCGCCATCATCATCGTCATCAGCAGCATCATCATCAGCAACAACAGTATCGTCATAAACATCCCATCCGCATCATCATCATCATCATCATCATCATCATCATCATCAGCATCATCATCATCATCATCATCATAATCACCACCATCACCAGCATCATCATCAGCAGCAGCATCATCATCATCATCGTCATCATCATCATCATCATCATCATCATCATCAGCATCATCATCATCATCATCATCATCATCATCATCATCCAATTCATTACGGTAATCATAATTCTCCAGGCTGTGAAAATCGCCGTGCAGCAACGTAGGTGCCAGTCCTGAGCTTCTCGGTCCCAGTCACAGTTCCAAAGCAGGTTACAGTTCCCACTCTCAGATGGTATCGTACTACTCTTTGCTTGTTACCGTAAAGCGTGACTGCCCGCGCGAGGGGGAAGCCCCCATGGCTACTACGGCCTCTGGGGGGGGCCATGGGACACACACACACACACAACTGAATTAGTCTCGCGCCCCAAGGTCTGTCTTCCGAGTAACTTACGCGAGAGTCTCGCCTCCAAGGCCACGATCCCCATCAAAATGAATCAAGAGGCGCGCCCCCCAAGACCACGATCCCTCGCAAACTGCGCCAGCAGCCGGGCAACCGAAGACACGGCGATCCCTAGCAAACCACGCCAGACTCGCGCCCCCAAAAAAACAGACCCTGCAAACTCCACCAGGTTCGCGCCCTGGAGGCCACGATCTCTTCTCGACGACGTCACCATTACCAGCCGTCCTCGCATGAGGTTCCTATATTGCTCCAAGTCAGCGCCCAGGCATCCCAACACAGCTCTGGACTTTCCCAGTCTGCTTGCGAGGGGGCCGGCGACCGATGGCGGAGCCCCTACGGATAACGTGGTATCCGCATGGCGAGGGCGGTCTGACGCGGCCCTGCAGGAACTGTCCACGGAGAGTCCGTTCATCGGCTTCTCTGCTGCGCGACCCTCCTCCTCCGTCTCCTCCTCCTGATCGTCTTCCTGTTGATGCTCATCTTGTCTCCTTTCCTCCCGCAGTGTTCCCCTCTCCAGTACACCAATGCTCCTCCTCCTCTCCTCCTCCCAGACAGTCATCCTATCCGTGTCCCCTCGACTACCACATCTCCTCCACGTCCACATTCCCTTCCACCTCCACTCTTCCTGATCATCCGCCTCCGCTTCATCGTTCGCATTCTCCTGGCGCTGGTCCTCGCTAGATACCATGACACTGCACTTCCAGCACTGCGCCATGCTACACTGCACACTGCACGAGACGGCATGACACGACAATGCGCGAGGACACTGCCAGGCAGCACATGGAAGCACACTACGCTGCCGTTGCGAAATGCACCGCAGGCATCCATTCCTGTGTGCATGAATGCCGCATTTTCCGCTCGAGCGCGTCAGACGCGACGTGCAGTGGAGGCCAGTCCACCAGAAATCTCCCACAAAAGGCCCAACCCAGAGACCCCAGGACGTCCATTGGTTTGTGGTGTGGGAGAGTCACGCTTCCCATCGCAAAACCATCGAAACCCAAGAAGCCCAGGACACCCTGGAGGCGAGCAGGGTGTTTTGGGGACGCCCGAAATGGGTACGAAAAAAATGGGTACAATGCCCAACAACAAATGTTGCCCCAAACCAACAGCAGTTGCTGTTGGGCAGGCGGCCTTCTGTCTCAAATAGACACAGGCCGCGGCGGCACGGACAGCGAGTTCTGTTCAAAACAATCAGGAACTGCTGTTGGGCATTGTACCCATTCTCTCCGTACCCATGTCGGTCGTCCCGATGTTTGGCGCGGGCCTCATCTGTACGGCAAACACCGCCTAGCAGGAGCCCGGCAGCCAGGGGAACTGCTGGATCTCCTGGTCGAGGAGCTCCGAGAGCCTGCAGCGCCGAGGCGGGGCGCAGGAGGCAGGAGCGAAGAAGGGGGGGGGGGGCGCCGACGGGGTGGAGAGGCCCAAGGACTGGAGAATCCTCCTCCTCCTCGTCCCCCCCCCTCCTCCTCGTCCCCCTCCTCCCCCTCCTCCTCGTCCTCCTCCTCGTCCTCGTCCTCGTCCTCGTCCTCCTCCTCCTCCTCCTCCTCCTCCTCCTCCTCCTCCTCCTCCTCCTCCTCCTCCTCAAGAGGGCACGAGTGGCAATGTGGGCAGGCGGGAAAAAGGCTGGGCGAGAAGGCGGTTGAGGCGTACTGGTGTGTTTGGGCACACGAACCATGGAACATCCGCCCCATCCTTCCCAACATCCGTTGATACCTCCTTGCTTCTCCTCGTCCTCCTCCTCCTCCGCCGCCTCCGCCTCCGCCTCCGCCTCCTCCCTCCTCCTCCTCCTCATCCTCCTCGTCCTCTTCCTTCTATTCCTCCTCCTCCTCCTCGTCTTCTTCTTCTTCCTCCTCCTCCTCCATCTCCCCCTCCCCCCCCCCTCCCTCGTCCATCAGTCCTCCTCTCGCTTCCCTTCTCCCTCATCGCCCCTGCTGCTCCTCCTCCGCCTCCTCGTCCGCCTCCTCCTCCGTCTCCTCCTTCTCCTCCGCCTCTTCTTCCGTTTCCTCCTCCATCATCCTCATCACCACCACCACCAGCACCACCACCGCCACCACCAGCATCATCATCATCACCATTATCAATAATAGTATCAGCATCATCAGCATCGGCAGCATCAACATCAGCATCATTCTCGTCACCAGAAACAGTATCATAATTACAAGTATAATGATCATCGTCATCGTCAGTATTCCAATCGGCATCGTCATCATCAGCAGCACCATCATAATCATCATCAGCAGCATCAGAAGCATGATTATTATTATTGTCGTCGGCATCAGCATCGCCATCGTCATCGACATCGTCACTATTGTCGTCGTCAGCGCCAGCATCGCTACCACCGCCACCACCACCACCATCATCAGCAGCAGCATCATCAACATCATCACCTGCATTAGCATCATCAGCGTTATTACCAGCATCATTAGGAGAATTCGCAGTCTCAGCAGCAGCATCATCATCATCGTTATCAGACGCATCAACATCATCGCCAGCATCATCAGTAGTGGCATCGTCATCATCACCAGCGTCGTCGTCGTCATCATCCGCATCCGCATCCCCACATCGTCATCAACATCATCATCATCATCATCATCATCATCATCATCATCATCAGCATCATCAGCATCATCATCAGCAGCAGCATCATCATTATCATCGTCGTCATCATCCTCAGCAGCAGCAGCCGCATCATCATCACCATCGTCAGCATCAGCAGCACCCTCACCATCACCATCAGCGTCGTCAGCATTATCATCATAACCGTCGCCATCATCATTATCATCCGCCGCACCAGCATCATCATCATGCGCATCATCATGAGCATCGCAACATTCATCATCACAGCTGATAACATCACCATCACCATCACCTGCATAATCACCACACCCACCACCATCATCACCGTCATGCGCGAATATTCTCATCTTCTTGCCCCCACTTGCGCACGACTGATTCCTTGGTGAATTCAGGGGCTGAATGTTTCTTTTGTGATCTCTGTTGGGTCTTTCGGCAAAAAAGGGGTAGTGGGAGGAGGAAGGAAGGACCACGGACGTTTCTTCCAGGCCTGCGAGCGGGCCGCCATTAACAGTTTTTCGGTGGAGCAAGAAAGACCGAGGAATTGCTAATGGGGGACACCCTGTGCTTGGGGAGCTCCCGATTCGCAGCCTGTTGTGGGGTTGCTAGATGGGGGCCAACCCGGGATAGCAACCCCCAAGACTGCTTCCTAGAGGGAGGCAATCTGCGCGCAGCGGTCGC